TCAATCATCGCTAGAGCAGTGGAAGAAGCAAGTACCCGGAATGGGAATATACATAGGCGGTGGTAAATGTTTAGAGTCATAAATTAGAAACACAAAAACATGCAATGAATATAATTATCTAGGATCTATAATATCTAAAGATTGCATTACCAAAAGAGACTTTGAAAACAGAACGCAGCAGGGAAAAAACCGGTAAACATTCTAAACTATCTACTATTTAGCAGATCACGAAAAAAGATAGAAAAAGAATAGAAGTAGTAGAAATGGATTTTCTACGGAGAGATTGTAGTGTATCCAAAAAAGATTATATTATGACTCCGCGTTGAACAATTTTGCCTTTGATAAAAACCATTATTTTGACGACGTTACGGTAAGGTCGCACTTGCCATTGTCAAGTCAGGTAGTAGCGCTTCTCGGTGATGCTTGAAGTTGACTTTATCCTGTATGGCAACGTTAGACTCCCAATAGGGGTTGCCAATAGTTAATATCAACGCACCTATAACCCATAAAAGAAGTGTTGTATTCAGTCTCAACTGATAGAGTAATGAAGCTATTTAGTCCACAAAACCATTACAAAAATCTCAAAAATGTTAAGATATCTTAGAAAAAAATAATTATCCACCAAAATATTACAACCATCTAAAAAAGTTGCATTTACAGAGATCAATCTAATTCCAATATCAAGCCAAAACAAACCCAAACCATACCTAGCAATAATATTATAGTAGTAATTTCACCAAATCAAACAAACATTACATATCTCTACCATACATTAATGGATTCTCTGAACAAATGCCGAAAATGATGACAAAAGATTTTTCAACGTTTTAAACTCAATGTTAATAAAGATCATCAGTCGGTTAATATTTATAAAATAAATTGTAAAAACTGCAATTTACTTTATTGAGCAAACACACCAATATCTGCATATAAGAGTTGGCACACACAAACATAGTGTACAAATCAACAAATAAATTACAACATCCTTAGCCATGCATTCTCTGGAAAATAGCCATTCTTTTGATTTTAAAAATGTGCAGATTTAGAAAAAGAACAAAACTACAACCAAAGATGCATACTGGAGATAATTATCTTAAAAAAAGATCTAAATGCCATCAATAATAAAACTGACATTAAAGATCTTTTCAATATATATTACTTCTTCTTCTTCTTCCATCTTGTATGTAGGCTTTAAAGCCTATTTCTTCTTCAATATTAGCCTCCTAAATTGTTTCAATTGTCACCACCATCTCTTTCTTGGTCTGCCAATAATTGTTCGTCCAATTGGTGACTTATCTCGTACTATTCGTACTATTCCATCCTCTACCATTCTACTGATGAGTTCGTTCCACTCCTGTTTTCGTTTCGTCACCCATCCATTTATGTCTTCTATATTGCATGCTCTTCTTATGTTTTCGCTTCTCTCCCTATCCAACAGACTTTTTCCTGATATTTTTTTTCTGATTCCTGAGTATTTTCATCTCTGTTGTTTCTAGTCCTCTTCCTCTATCCTTTATCCTTAGTAAGTATGTGGTGACGTTATGGTATTTGACGAATGGTTGCTATCCATTCTTCTCTCTCCTGGGCGCGGTGTGCTGCCTCAGATAGAGAGTAACCGGTAGTGCACTTTATTTGGTCTGACCATCGGAGTGGCGATATTCATCGAGTTCTTTTACCATCTACCTTGCCTTCAACCACCAACCTCTCTATGCCTTCCATTTGTCTGGAAATATGTAAAAAGTACCTCAATATATTTTGGTTAATGATTGTGGTAAGCCTAGTATTGATGTCGAGTTCTGTCAATATTGAGACATTTGTGCGATGTGCTGTCCAGGGTATGCGCATCATTCTACGATATACCCACATTTCAAAGGCCATTATACGTCGTGAGTTGGACTTTTTAATAGTCCAAGGTTCTGACGCATAGGTAGCGCCAGGAAAGATAAACGCCCGTACTAGGTGCAGATGCTGTGAATGTTAATATAGGTCTAATTGCTGCTTTATAGATTCTTATTTTTGTGTCTGGTCTTAATTGTTTGTTCTTCCAGATTGTGTCATTAGGAGATTAAAATTTAATAAATTGAGTTGATTTTTAATTACACCATGTTTAAGAAACGACCCTGAACCACTGGTATTTTAAAGTTCCAGCCAAATTTATTTGTGAGCCAGATACTATTTCTGCATTTCTGCCTTTATTTATAACATACCCATAAATCCAGAAATTTTTTTTTAAGTATATATATATATATATATATATATATATATATATATATATATATATATATATGAGAAGAGAGAAGAGCAACCCGTTAAGAGGTACCAGGACAGACTTAAACTAAGATGGAGACAAAAAGTAGTAGAAGTATGGAAATTAGAAATATAGAAAGGACAATCAAATAGAGAGAAGAATGGATAAAAGTAGTGGAAACAGCGAAGTCACACCAGAAACTTTAAGACCAAACCCAGATTGGGATGATCCCCCACACAAAAAGGATTTTTAAGTGAAAACAGCTGCAGCTTCATCGGGACCATATAGCTTATGTATATATATATATATATATATATATATATATATATATATATATATATATATATATTTATAGACATATGTATGTACATAAATATATAAAAAGACACTAAATCAAAATGTACAAATTTAAGAATCAATGCATATCATAACGATACAACTGCAAATATTCTCATAGTTTTCTGCTATAGTTGTTATTCTTACACTTAATAATTTTCGTGTTCTAACAATACAGTAAACGAGAAAATTACTACCTACAGTCATGTTTATGATATGTCTTATAATTTACTACTATATTATTGTTTTAAATTATGAGAACTTTCAAACTAGGACAAACATTCACAAATGGTAAAATATTTTAGACTGACGTATACAACAATTTTGATTAAATTGATTAAAATACTTCTTATAAAAAAAGGTAGTCACAATAATAGAACAAACAAGCTGATAAAAGGAAATAGAGAGAGAAATTTAAAATATATGTGATTTTACGATAAAAATATAATATTGTTAGAATAAACAAAAGTTTCTCCCAATACGAAAAATATTAGAGGAGAAAGTGCGCAAATGTTGAGATAATAATTATATTTGGATTTGCAAAAACAAAAACAAGATCACAACGGAAAAATTGTAAATATTTAATACATTGGAAGGCAGACAATAAAGTTTGTAATTAAAAGCAGATAATTATAGCTAAGAATATCTTTAAAATGACGGCGACAAAGATCCCAAGATCTTTTAAAGACCGCATACATACATTCTTCTTCTTAAAGTGCCTCATTTATTTACTAGGTAAAAGTAGTTAAATAGGGGGTTGCAAAATAAATGAGGGGGTAGAGTTGTGTTATAGAGGTATATCGGAACAAGCACATTGAGCGTCATAGACGGGAGATGGTTCTCAACAGACAACTGATTCTCATAAGACAACTAACTCTCACTTATGGCTCAACGTGCCACACCCCGGTCAACTGCATTGGTCTGTAGGTTAAACTAAGTAAGGGTAGCCAGATATGGCGAAAATTCCACCAAGCGATTACCGGTAGAAGCAATCTCACTCTTACTGACCAACGGCTTCGGGCCGATGAGTTGGTAAGGGGAAGGGCACTCTCATGTCCATGCAGAATGTACGGAGGAAACCACTGCATTAAAGGTTCAATTGGATATCTCTAGTACAATCATCATGACAATGAGTACTAAAAGAAAGGAAGGTCCTCCGGCAGGGGAGGAACAGACAAGGTCGTTAACCGGCGAAAAGAAGAAAAATGCTAAATAATGCAATGACCACCGCACCATAAGCCTGATGTCTCACACACTTGATCAAAAATGTTTTTGATCATCTATAAACGTATTTATTCCGTAATTCCGTATTTCTGTATTCCGCAATATGGATTCCGCAGAGGCGTAGGTACCCGTGAAGCTCTCTTTGCATTCAACATACTAATCCAGAGATGCTTGAATATAAACCAAGATATATACGTCTGTTTCATAGATTACTACAAGGCTTTTGATAAAGTCTGCCACAAAGAGCTAATGGACGCCCTCAAAGAAAAATAATTACAATACAATGACCTTCGAATTATAACAAATCTATATTATAAACAGCAGCCACACATACGCATTAGTGAACACACAGCAGAAGAGTTCGAAATTAAAAGAGGAGTGCGACAGGGGTGTGTATTGTCACCACTACTATTCAATGCATACTCTGAAAAAATTATGAAAAAAGCTACCTTTATACTAAAATGAATATTATAACCAACATTATTTTCATTTTATCTGTGTTCTAAATGTATCTCAAGGCTCTTTTGGGTAAAAGTTCACTTTCACGGATGCTGTTTGATTTAGGTAGATGTTATTAAGGAATCTAAGTAATTATGGTCTATCATTCTAACTTGTAGCAGCTTTATTACTTCTGGATGTGTGACACCGTCGAACGCATTGTGGTAATTAATGAAGCACAGGAAATCGTGTTATTATCTTATACGTCTTATAACCATACATTAAGAAATATGGAAAGAAACGAGACAATTAGGCAATTAGTAACTATACGAAATATATTATGTAAGATTGGAAACAAAAAAGAAGACTAAAGGAATGTGAAATCCAGAAGAAATAGAGAGAACATAACTATCTTGGATCGACATGCTAAGGGTAAAAAAGACAATAATACATAAAACAAACTGTACGTAATACACAAGTAAATGTGCACGATAGAGCCAGTGAAGAGGATCAATCTCATAACAGGTATATTTGATAATAAAGATAGTAAGGAAAAATTTCGTAAGAGATACTTACGATATTAAAAATCTAAAAGTATACCAACACCTATAAATTATGTATGGTTGTATGTACGTACCTTTATAAATAAAATAATTTGAGCCAAAAGATTTGTCCAAATACAAAGACAAAAAAAATATAGTTTGACTACGTGACTAAATGCTTTTTATGTACAGCTCGATGATAAGTTACTTACCTGATCATATTCAAATTTAACGTTATTTCTATTAACATCGATGATATTGTCGGTATTGTCGATGCGAAAAATGGGGTTCGACGAATTCCAATAAATGGTATAAAACTTGGCATTGCTGGCACCCGGCATCGTTGCCAATGCAAACCAATGACAAGTGAAGGCGAGAAAAATGACGGCGTGCAAGAGCAGCCGGCCGGGTTGACAGTGTTGCCACGCCGTGGTCGTCATACTGCCTCCTCAGCCGAGGATGGTGAGGGTGTCACAAATGACGTAGACGCCGCCACCGAAGGTGGTCGTCTAACTGATGAGGTCGCCGTCGTTAGTGTTGCCACCGCGTCACCCTGTTGATGATTCTCCTTAGCGACATGGACACTGTTTACATGACTAAATGAACTGTAGGTGATCTGAAAACAAAAAGAAAATATTATTTTCTGTATCATATGAGCCAATCATTTTCATAAAAATAAAAAATTATTCAACTATATTTACTGAAAAAACTGGTTCTTTATAACACTAATGCAATCATATTTTTATTCACTCAGTAATATCAATATCTATAATTCTACTACAGCATTTTGTGATCATGACGAACAAAAATACTAAAACAATACCATCTTTAGTCAATTTTCTGTGAGATTGTACTATGTTTTAAAGAATTGTCTATATTAATTGATGGATTCGACCGTTACTTGATAGAAATTCATTTTATGTAATAATAAAACACCTTTAGTAGTAAAAAGCAGTAAAAAATCTTTTAGACCATAATATTACAAATCCAATCATTACATCTGAAATTTTACATCTTCTTGAAATTTGAATAAACCAGGACTAGTTTGAATTTAATAATCAAATGTATACAAATAACAGTGCAGGACTTCCTCTAAGCCCATTGCTATCAGATATTTTTTTTGATGGATCATCTAGAGACAAAGATTTCAAAACATCCCATATTCAAACAGTTTTTATATTCGTGGAGATACGTAGGCGATGTACTGGTATGTTTCACAGGAACTAACAGGCAACTCGACCATCGACTTTATCGTATATTAATTCACTTCATAGTCATATTGAATTTACAATAAAAACAAAACAAAAACAATCCATAATTTTTTTAGATTTAAAAATTATCAGACTTAAAAACAACCATGACTTTTCCATATTTCATAAACCTACCCATACTGACACGACTATACACAATTCATCATCCCATCCCACACAACATAAACTGGCAGCCTATCATAGTATGTTACCCAGATTATCACAAATTAACATTAACATCACATTAAGCAAATAGCAGTAAACAATAGTTACAACGAACAAACAAATAAAATTTTTAATCAACAACTACACAAGAAAGCCCTGACATTAGTATTTTCACTACCAGAGAAAAAACCTTCAGTAGTACCTTCTGCTCGATTACATATACAGGCAAAATATCAACAAAAATAGCCAAATACATAAAAAAGAAAGGAATAACACCAGCTTTAATAACAAACAACAACTTAGGCAAATATATTAAAAACAACAAGAGCCAAAATAAAAAGCAATTACACTGTGGTGTAGACAAACTCAAATGTGGCCACTGTCCAAAAACTTACATGGGTCAAACTGGTATAAATTTTTATAAACGAATCACAGAAACAATATTAGAAAAACATATTCTACATATGTATTTCACCTTCTAGATCGTGATCATTCTTTTAATGACGAATTTCAAATTCTTCACATTCAAAATAAAGGCCTTAAGCTAGCTTTGTTAGAATCTATAGAAATTAACAAATTAAAAAACACAGATATAATTCTGAATGACCAACTTGAGACAAACAGTTCTCCCCTCCTCAATCTATTTCATTAAAGACTATAAAGTGTAAACGCATTCCAAAAATAGATCACTTGAGAAAGGCACTCTGCCGAAACAGCTGTAGTGATAAGATTTTATAATAAATTTTGTGGAAGAAAACAAAGTTTTTAGTGTTTTATTGTTACAATTGTCAATTTATTCTCAATAATTTTTAAATACTGAATTATAAAATTACTAGAAAACACATTTTGTTAAAATTTATCAAAATTTTTAAACTTTTCTTAATAAAGAAGATTTATATCCATGTTGTTTTCGACATTTTTTAATAAACGCCCTGTATCTCGCTAATGTTTGATTAGGCAATCGCCACTTTAACGAAATTCGATTGATACACTGTCCAAACTGTTGGCGTAAATACGTTTGTTGCTCACATACTGGAGCAGATATACTAGAGCTCAAACGACATGGCAAATGGACGTTGTCGGCATTAGATGGATACGTAGAGTTATCACTTATCAAACATCCTCATGTGGCAAAACAAATATTTCAGTGTGAAAAAAATTACAATGTACTGTTACCAAGTATTAGTACATTTAGATGTTTCTTACGAAGAAATACAATTAAAAAATAATTTAATAATTTTAAAAATTTAATATTTCTTACATATATTACATGTACTAGTATCTGATACAAATAGAGTTTGACTTAATTTGTTCCTAACATATTCGATCTATCTATCTATCTAATTAGCCTTCTTCGGTCCATCTTTGGACATAGGCCTCCCCAATCCTTTTCCATTCTTCTCTGTCTGTCGCTACAGTCATCCACCTAGAGCCCACGTGCTTCTTGATATCATCTGCCCATCTCATTTGGGGCCTTCCTCTGCTTCGTTTATATTCCCACGGTCTCCAACTTATAAGAATTTTGTTCCATCAGTCTTCTTTTTGTCTTATATTGTCCGGCAAATCTCCATTTCAATTTTGCAACTTCTTGTTTAACATCCCTCACTTTTGTTTTCTCTCTTATCCACTCGTTTCTCTTTTTATCCCTTAGTCTTATGTGCAACATTTGTCTTTCCATTGCTCTTTGGGTTTTTATGATTTTGTCCATGTTTGCTTTTGTAAATGTCCAAGTTTGGGAACCATAAGTAAGAACAGGGAGTACGCATTGGTTGTATACTTTGGTCTTAAGATGCTGTGGATATCTTTTGTTTTTAAGAATGTAGCTTAGTTTGCCAAATGCATATATATATTTATATATATATATATATATATATATATATTACAGAATTCTAGTAATGGGATAGTCGCCTACGCACTTTGGTGTATGCATGTTAAGAAGAAGATATATATATATATATATATATATTATATATATATATATATATATATATATATTATATATATATATATATATATATATATATATATATATATATATATATAATCCTGAACTTGTTCTATTTCATCTTGTCCGATTCTCATTGCGATGTCTTCATCTGTTATTCTTGCTGTAATTCATATTAAGGCCTATCTTTCCAGCTTCTACGTCCAGTTCTTTCATCATTTCAAATAATTCTTCTTTTTTATCAGTTATCAATACGATATCATCAGCGTACCTTAGATGGTTCAAGTGTTGTCCACAAATTTTTATACCTTTTTCTTCCCATTCTAATATTTTAAAAGTATCTTCAAGAGCCTGATTGAAAAGTTTCGGTGATATTGTATCACCCTGTCTCACGGCTCTATTTATTTGTATTAATTTTGTTCCTTCGTATACTTTAATAATTGTTGTTTTGGCTTCCTTATATATATTCTCTATTAGTTCCATATATCTGTGGTCAATTCTGCTGTTAATCAAAGAACTTTTCACCGCCCAATGTTCGACTCTGTCGAAAGCCTTTTCGAAATCTATGAACGCCATATATAGAGGAATGTGGTATTCATTTGCTCGTTCTATAAGTATTTTGATACTTGGTAAATGGTCACTTGTGCTGAATCCCTTTCTAAAACCAGCTTGTTCTTTAGACTGTACCAGTATCAACCGAACTATTAGTGTCAGATACTCAAATGGGCCAGGCGGATGCAATAGTTTAAAGTCACTGTGAATGATCTAGTGGATCGATGGTTCAAACCCTGGGCAGACAACAAAAAGGCTAACGTAACGTAGCATAAAATCTAAATTAATCTACTATGTAGACTAGCATACGCTGGTGTATAGGATCGACCTATGGATAAGCAGTACAGCAGAAGATGGGGCTTACGTCTACATACCCTACACAATATTTTGACATATGCGAATACACGTACGAAATGGGCAGTTAGTTCTATTATGGATTTCTTACTAATTATCCCAAGGAAATAACCTTTTTTTCGTGACACTCGTCCGGCCAGGTAACCGACAGTTGTTTTGGGTAGTATGGACCTCTATAACAAGAACCTATATGTTTCCTGCAGTCGATTTTTTGGACTTAATTATTTATTAACAAATTAAGGTCAAACAACAGTAAATTATTGCTTTTTTAGTCTATCAGCAAAAAGTAAAGCGTTTGAAACAAATTTAAGAAGAAAAGAAACTTATGCCATTTAAAAACCTTCAAAATGGCGTTTTCTAAACGTTCCTATCCTTATTTGTTGCTTAGAAAGTTGCAAAATAAGTAAAAAGTTTCGTTTTTTATAAATGTTAATAACTTTTTTTTTTAAATAAACTTATAACCTTTATATTACATACAATGTTGGGCAATGGCCAATGTTGGTCAAATAGTTTAAAAGTTATTTAATTTGTTTATCCCAAATTATTATTATTTTTTGAAATAAGGTATATTAATTAAACGGATAGATTCTAAAAGAAGAAGGTTTATTCTATTATTATTATTATTTAACAAAATAGGGAAAAATATTTTTAAATATTGCAAAATAATTTGGCAAAAATATGTCATTTTTTTTGCTTATAAAAGTTATTTAATTTGTTTATCCCAAATTATTTTTTTTTGAAATAAGGTATATTAACTATACGGATAGATTCTAAAAAAAGAAGGTTTATTCTATTATTATTATTTAAAAAAAATAGGGAAAAATATTTTTAAATATTGCAAAATAATTTGGCAAAAATATGTAATTTTTTTTGCTTATAAAAATTATTTAATTTGTTTATCCCAAATTATTATTTTTTTTTGAAATAAGGTATATTAACTATACGGATAGATTCTAAAAGAAGAAGGTTTATTATATTATTATTATTTAAAAAAAATGGGGAATATTTTTAAATATTGCAAAATAATTTGGCAAAATATGTCATTTTTTTTTGTTATAAACAATTAGAATAACTTTTTAACCATTGACTGCAAAAAACTGATTTTTTCATATTTTGACAGCTTGAATTTTTTTATAAATTTAAAAGGAACAAAGTTGACCTAGGCCACTTTGGGACGAAGTTAGCTGCCTTTTTTTATAAATTGATATCAGCTTTGTTTATAACAATTAAGAAACCTAATTAGGGCCATCTGAAAGAAAACACTTTAAAGTTTTCACGTGAAAAATTCGAAAAAGATTGCATTTTAATGGAATCGTTTACAAAGCTTCAAAATTGTGGTCCTCAAAATTT